TCTTGATTTAATTCCATTAATTGAATCCGTGGTGTTGTCGTTATGTGTTTGAATGTGTCAGGACATGGTTTCGAGTTCCGCGAGTGATCCCGGGACTGAAAAGTTGCCTATGTACCAGTGGGGGGTAGGTGGGGGGGGGGATGACCGCCCACTACCTACCCGCTGCCCGGCGAGTCCCTATCCAGCGGGCAGCCTGCGGGCGGAGGCCTGCCGACCGGCCACCCGCTGGAATGGTGGCTGCCCGCCGGCGGGTGGTCATCCACCTGCCACCTACCCGCTAGAAAGTTGATGTGGGTTGTGGTGTTTTCCCCCGTTTGTTGTTCCCCGTGTCCCGTTGTGTCCCATTGTACCCCGTTTGTCGTGTATGAGTCTCGTTTGATGTTTTGAATACTATTCTAGGGGTTTATGTGAAGTACGTGTCGTTATTGTTATGTCTTGATTGTTATTGATTGATTATGTGTTGCCTGATTGAATGGTGATGAGTATCGTAGTCATTGCGCAATGGCCGGTGTGATTGGTGATGATGATGAGATTGTGATTGGTGGAAATGAACTGTTGGCTGTTGGCACCACTTGTGTCCGGTCATTGTACTAAAGGTACAGGCCTTGCGGTTACTGTGCTAAAGGCACAAACCCACCTTCGACTAGTTTGACGTTGAGCATGAGTCAGGTTATAAGTGTTGCGGTGTCATGTCAGGGCTATATGCGCTGACCCCTTGATATTGACACTAGAGGTGCAGATCATGCGAATGACACTACGACGCTATCTTGATATGTTGGTGGTTGAAAGGTGGTTTGTCGGTGGGGGCATGTAGTTGCCCGGAGGAATAAGGGAGACGATATAAGGGTGGCCTAGAGGTATAGGTTGGAACTGATATAAGGACGGAGGTGAGCTACAAGGTTGGAACTTGGTATAAGGTTGGAAGATGGATTGTGTGCTTTGATGATTACTTGCTAACTGATTGCCTTGAATGCCTTTGTTGTCTCTATTTGTTATTTATATGCTTGTCTGTCTGTTTTGTCTTGCAACGTGTTCTTAGGATGCATGCTAGTCTTTATGATTATTCTATACTGTTGAGTCTGTTGTTGTGTCTCGGGTTTTGATCTTGGATTTAAATTAGTGTCTCGTAAGTATATATGTATTCCAGTTTCAAATTGATTTCTTATACCTGCCTATATTGTACTTAACGCGTTGGAGTGGGGTACTAGCATTATTCACTGACGGTTGTTACACCGAATGTTTTTCAGGACAAATTGAGTAGCTTCGGAGCGCGCTAATCGGATTCGTGGACTTAGTTTAGATAGTTCTAGTCTGTGAGATGGCCTGCGTGCCTTGATTTACATTTGGATATTCATGATGGTTTATGCTTTGTAAGATAGCTTAGCCTGTGCATCTGGGTTCCCTAGCTCAGATGTGGCATAACACCCCGACTACAATGTTTAGTTTATGCTCTGTTTGGGATTGAAATATTAGATTCGCCTTTATTTTATAGGCTTTAAATATCTTAAAATTCAGGGGTGTTACACATCAGATTTTAAGAAAGTGAAGTAGTGAAGAACTATGAACAAGAGAACAACACACACAGAAAATAAGTTTTCTACTCTTCCAAAACTCTGCTCCTACTTCATTCTTGAAGCTGTGTTCTGCGCGTGCTCTAGTTGACCGGGTTCGTCCGTTTGGGTGCTCAAACGTCGAACCGTAGTACGTTTTATCCTAGGAAACCTAGGCCACAACGCTCCTAGCACTTTTGGGAGGTGACAAATAAGGTTTTAAGGAAAGAGTAGTTCGCTCGACTCGTAATTACCATCTTTCTTCCTCTTCTTCTTTCGTGTTGGATTATGCTCTAAGCAAAAATCCTCTCTCTATTTTGTGGTAGTGGTTGGATTGGAATTATAATCTGAGGATTATAAGTTCCAATTTTTGGTTGATATATATTTATATATCTTTTTCCATAGATATATATGTATATATAACCTTTGGGTCCATTTTATATATATTTGTGTGTGTATATATATATTTCGGATATATATCCAATAATATTTTTATATATTTTCGTGTGTATATATAAATATTATTTTGGGATATTAAATCGACTTTTGGTTCATTATTTCCAACATTAAGTTGGATTCATTGGTAAATATATTAGTATATTGTATATGTAGTTATGTAATAAGATACTCAAATTGAAATGCAGGTATGTAAAGATTGATCTCCCGATGAGGATCCCGTGCCGAGTGTCCAAACTTCTCGCAAATCTGACACCGGACGTCCGACCGCCCACGGCCACGACCCCGGCCACCTCGGCCACGACCCGAGCCTCCACCGCCCGAGCCTCCACTGCCCGAGCCTCCACCGCCACTGCCCGAGCCTCCACGATAGGACCGGCCGCCACCGCGGCCTCCTCCTCGGCCACGCGACGCTGCCATAGCAGTCGGGGCAGCAGCATCACCACCACCCGGCGCACAAATATACTCCTGTGAAGTTAAATAATCAGAAAGCTCAGTTAAGGTTACCGGAGAGCCACGCGTCAGTGGTGCAACAAGAGGACGGAGCTCCGGTCGTAAGCCACGAAAAACGTAGAGATTCTGATCATCAAGCGTAATAACCCGGCCGACCAGCGCCAAATCCTCAACCAGAACTCTCGCCCGACTCAAGTAATCCGAGACGGACGACGCCCCATGGGACAGCCCCTGCAGCTCGCCGAGAAGCCTCAAAGCCCGGGAGCGTGTCGCCGAGCCAAACTCCTGCTCGATCGCCGACCATAGAAGCCGCGACGTGGAGCGCCCGATCGCCATAGGTAGCATCTCGTCGGACAAGGATGAAATCAATAGAGAAAGAACAGCCTTGTCCTGCCGGCGCCATTGCTGCTGCAGCGAAGCCAGATCAGACGGCCGGCCACCACTGTCCGCCGTCGACTCCACCGGGACGGACGACGGCAGTGCTGCCGTCGGACATGGCAGTGTGACATCAACAAAACCAAGCAACCCTTGGCCTTCTAAGAATGGTAAAATCTGAGTACGCCAAAACAAATAATTGTGGGCGGTAAGTTTGATAGACACGAAGTGATGGGCGGAGGAGAAACTAGTATTCGGGTAAACGGGAGTGGGGGCAACCTCGGACACAGTCCGTTCAGACGAATCACGAACAGAACCGCCATTGTTATCTCCCAAGGTTGCCATGAAAATAAGAATCCCTGGATACTGATACCAGATGAGGATTGTATATTCAACGTAAACGTATAATAGTCTGAACAATAACAATATAAGGAGATAAGTAAAGAGTCCTAGCCAACTACTAATACAAGAGTCCTAACACTCCCAACTTGGTTATAATAGAGAGGTCTATACTTTTACTATTTCGAAAGTTGTCATTGGAAAATATTGATTATTATGAAGGAAAATTTTATATTGTTATAAAAATATAATATGTATTGTTATAAATAGTAATGGAACAATAATTTTTAGTTTAGAGGCTAAATTGAAAACACTTCATAATCCTACTCTTAATACAGAAAAATGACTCAACAATCTAAGACACACTGACACCATTACGTTTAGTCATAAACTCTCAATTTAATCGCTCACGGTCATTGAAGTTTCAAGTTAAAACACCCATAGTATTTCAACTTTCAAAATTTTAACTAACCCGTTTCTAACTTTTCTCTTACTTAAATTAATTAAAGGACCACAATTGGTTAAATTTGAAAGTTGAAGGGACACGTGTGATTAAACTGAAAATTTAGGACTAAACGTGACAGTGCTATTATACTCAGAGGACCCTAGTTGGTATTAACTATGTTTGATTCTATAGTTAGAGCATTACATATAGTAGAAGACAAATTTTTATGTGGACCATGAATACAAAGTATATTTTTAATATATTAAAAGTATATTATTTGAATATTTGTATACTAAATTTACATTATTTGATTAATATACAAAATAAGGCAAATTATGCCTTGGACCCCTGTCCACAATGCATTGTGGACACGAGTCCAAAACGACATTGTTTTTAGGGAAAGCGCGTCATTCCAGTTAAAAAAAAATTAATTTTGTCTCGCCGTTAACGGCGTTATTCGTTTGTGTCATTATGAATGTACAGTTATGGGATTATGAATGTACAGTTATGGAATTATGAATGTACAGTTATGGAATTATGAATGTAAGTTATAAAATTATGAACACAGAGCTCTGACATTATGAACATATAGTGATAAAATTATGAACATAGAGCTCTAAAATTGTGAACATGGAGCTTCGAAAATTATGATTTTACAGTTATTGAATTATGAATGTACATTTATTGAATTATGAATGTACAGTTACGGAATTATGAATGTACAGTTATGCAATTATGAATGTACAGTTATGCAATTATGAATGTACAGTTATGGAATTATGAACACAGAGCTCTGACATTATGAACTTACAATATGAAGATATAGTAATAAAATTATGAACATAGAGCTCTAAAATTGTGAACCTAGAGCTTCGAAAATTATGAAGTTACAATTATTGAATTATGAATGTACAGTTACGAAATTATGAATGTACAGTTATGGAAATATGAATGTACAGTTATTGAATTATGAACATAGAGCTCTGACATTATGAACATATATTAATAAAATTATAAACATATACTCCTATAACGAAGCGGTCTGAAATTAAAAAACAGTGAAAGATAACAGTGCCACTAACGGCACTGTTTCCCGTGTCCAGCATGCATGCTGGACACGGGTCCATAGCATAATGATTGCAAAATAATGTACTTAGGTGGGCTAAATGGGCTAACGTTTGTAGAGAAACTTCCATCCTTTTTCTATGACATTGAAAGGGGTCTTGAAAAGCCCAATTTATTAAATGGGTAACTTTATATGTGCTTAACCCAAATTGAAATGATGGACGGAAGCTCATGAGCATTGAAGGGCAAGAAAGTCATTTCACAGAAAAGATTCACAGAATGCCAAAAACCCTAGCTTATAACCCTAGCGTCTTCACTCTCTGCTTCTCCTTACAAAGCGCACGTTAACCCTAGCCTCGCTGCCTGCAACTCCGTCTCCGCAACAATGCCGCCGAAGTTCGATCCAACTCAGGTTGTCGAGGTCTTCGTCCGCGTCACCGGCGGCGAGGTCGGAGCCGCCAGTTCGCTCGCTCCGAAGATCGGTCCACTCGGTCTCTCCCCGAAGAAGATCGGTGAGGACATCGCCAAGGAGACCGCCAAGGACTGGAAGGGCCTCCGCGTCACCGTCAAGCTCACGGTTCAGAACCGTCAGGCCAAGGTCTCCGTCGTACCCTCCGCCGCCGCTTTGGTCATCAAGGCGCTCAAGGAGCCCGAGCGCGACCGGAAGAAGACTAAGAACATTAAACACAACGGGAACATCTCCCTCGATGACGTCATCGAGATCGCCAAGGTCATGCGGCCCCGCTCCATGGCCAAGGACTTGACTGGCAGCGTTAAGGAGATTCTCGGGACGTGTGTATCCGTCGGGTGCACGGTAGATGGGAAGGATCCCAAGGATTTGCAGCAGGAGATTGCTGATGGAGAGGTGGAGATTCCTCAGGATTGAGAGAATCTTCGGTTTCAGGGGATTTAAACTCTTAGTTTTCTTGAATCCCATATTATTATTTACGAGAATTTTTGCTGGGAAAAATGTGGTTTTCTAATGTTAAGACTTCAGTAGGTTCTTTTTTGTTATATCGAAATGTTTTCTGAGTATTGTTATCTTTAATGATTTTATTTTGTTTACATTGTTGAATGATGCCTTTCCTCGAATTGAAACATTTCCCTCATTTCATCCCAAATTTCCTACATTTTTACTCGTACAACCCAGCTCATTTATGTCTTCTAAACCCAAACCAATCTTGTTGAGTTGGATTTATTCTTAGATGCTTATCATTTCCATGTTATATTGTTTGCAGCTACTGTAGTTATATATGTAGAGAGGGATGAAGTTATAAGTTACAGTGCCCTTTGTGATGCCAGGTTTCCCTTGTATATTGCTTCAATCTCATGCATCTATTGATAAACTATTTAACTATTTTGTCTATCTATTATTATCATATTGAGAGTTAAGAGGTTTACATTTTCTATCAACATGATTTTCCTATGATTCTGTAGTTCTGTATTAGTATTTCTTCTTAACTGATCACTTTCTCCATTGCTGCTTGCTCACTTTGCCATTTCATTTGTATCCCAATGTGGTTATTCATTATTGGTTTATTGCAGTTCATATATTGATGGGTTTATGCTTGCAAAGTTCTAGTCTTTTAGCTTGACCTTTATTTTGGATGATTGATTTATGTTTGCAGAGTTATGTTCTTTTATTTGCATAGCTTTTTCCAAAATTTAATGCTGAAAGCTGAAAGCTGAAAGGGATATGTTCAGAAATGGGCAGTGGGATATGTTTGTATGAATTGCATAGTTTGCCAGTATTGCAAGAAGTTATACACAGATCAATGATTATGCTTTTCTATGATCTGTGGAGTATTTCTGGGAAATAGGAGGATAGCATTGACTCAAATAGGGCAGTGGTTGTGGGTTTCTTGACTACTTTCTTCTGGTGATTGTACAGGTGAATAATATACAATGTCTGGGACTCTGGGTGAGCTTTAGACTGTTTTAATGGTAGAACTTGTTTGTCTGTTCAGAGATGTGATAGATTCATTGGTGTTCACCATGTTTTCTGGGAGAGTAGTTAACTTCTTAGTGAATTTGGGGCAAGATGATGATAGCTGTTGGTTCAGTGGTCATGGAGGTGCTGATAGTTTTATGTTCTGTTATTTTCTGTGTCATTTTTGTATGCTGAAGTTACCCAAGAGAAGAGAAAACTTGGTTTGTCTGCAAGTTGTAGCTTGATTGCGTTTCTGGGCAAATTATATTATGGACTAGGGTCTACCTTGCATTGTAGATCTTGATCCAAAAATGACCTTCAGATTTTGTATATATAGACTATAGTTGACACATTTTTTAAGCTATCATATTATGTGTCAACAATAGATATTTGTTAACTGTAGATACAAAATATGTTAATTGAAAATACATAATTGTTGTATCAGGTTCAAAATGTAATATGAAACTTGATCCAAGATATAACAATTGGCGTTTCTTCCTTTGTGCTTTAACATTTCTGGATTGTTTGGCTTGGGCTGCATGTTGGCTACCAACCCAAATTGAAATATGGGATATTGGTACACAAACTGGCCCCTGCAGAAATTGGAAACCGCGACAAGAACAGGCCAATTCCAACACTTTTAGGGCAAGGGCTTAGCTATAGGCCTTTTATTCTGTTAATATCTGACTCTCTTTCATTGCCTGCAACCATCACCAAGCATTTCTTTTCTAAAAAATGATAATTGGAATTTTTCCACGCGGAGACACCAATATTGCACGGGTGTCAATAATACTGATACAATCAGGTGCAATTATACTTGATACAGTTAGGTATATCATATATAGTTATATTATTACCACTTATACAGCTATACCAAATCACCAATGTTAACCTATATCAAAGGTTAAAGGAAAAAAAAAAATACAATTTTAGTCTTTCAATTGTTCCTTGATAGCTGTTTTAGTCTTTAATCTTTTATTGTCCACCCCTAACTCTTCAAAAATATTGTAGTTTGATCTGCGGGAACAATAAAATTATTAAACTTTATTAAAATTGTACTTATTAACTTATCAAAAAAAAAATTACTTATTATATTTAAAATTATTAAAATAAATAAATTAAAATTTTGAATGTTACCCATCACATCAGTAATTGACATGAAGTACTGGTTACTTTTGTTTTAATTGAACAAATATAGTTTATTTAGAGAGTCAAATTACATATTATATGACTTAAAAATACATTTTCGTCTGTAAGCTAAGGAGGCCATTTTAGAAAGCTTGTTTGTTTGAACTTGTTGGAAAAAAAAAATGATTTTTTGACTGTTGTGCTTTGTTTTTAAAACAAGTTGGATTAGTGGACATGATAAAAGTTTGATTTATGCTACAAAGGTGTTAGCCAACAGAGCTTTCGGCAAACTACTCGTGTTCGTGTTCGGTAAACGTTCGTTTATGTTCGTTTGTTAAGGTAAATGAACATTAACAAACAAAATTTAGAGCTCGGTTAATAAACGAACAGAGCTTGAACATTTGTAAGCTCGTTTGCTAAGAGATCGTGAACAAGTTCGTTTGTGTTCGTTTACTAATGTTCGTGAACAAGCTCGTTTATGTTCGTTTAATAATGTTCGTGAACAAGCTCGTTTGTGTTCGTTTAATAATGTTCGCGAACATGTTCACAAACATATATTATATTATATTATATTAATTTTGTAGTTGTGTTGTTTGTTTGATTATTGTTCGTGAACGTATATTATTTATTGTTCACGAACGAATTGTGATCATAAACATGTGTAGGTGTTTGTTTATTAAGTATTCATGAACATAAATGAATATGTTCGTGAACGTGCTTGTTAATGAACATGTTTGTGAACGTGTTTGTTAACGTTAACGAACACGTTTGCGAACGTGTTCACGAACGTTGACAAACATGTTCGCGAACATGTTCGTTAACGTTAACGAACACGTTCGTGAACATGTTCGCGAACGTTAACAAACACTAACGAACGCTTAACAAACGAACACGAACAAGATTTTCAAAAACCTTAACAAACGAACACGAACACTCCAAATTCCTTAACAAACGAACACGAACAACCTCCGTTCGTTTATGTTCGGTTCGTTAACAGCCCTACAAACACTGAAACTTGTTTTCAACAGTAGAGTCAGTAGGATATGGATTTGATTTTTGACACAAATATTGAGAGTTAAGTTTGAATCCGCGCAGAAGTGTATAGTTTGATGTTAAATCTTAAGTCTAAATTAGCTCAATTTATGTCTTATTGAGCATCAGAACAACTTCATGGTTCATAATATAGTACTTAGGTATTTTTATCTCTGTAATATTCACTCACTTTCAAGAGTGAGTTTTACTCTTACATCATCAAATTTGCAATTCCTTTACTATTTTTCTACATCCATTCAATCCTCTTTAACTCTAAAAAAAAGTGGTCTCACATTCACATCACATTATAATATAATAACAAGGGAAAATGACACTTCGACCCCCCATGTTATATACTTATAGCACTTTTTCCCCTTGAATTATTTAAGTGGTTGTTTTTCCCCATGATATGTTAAATGGACATATTTACCCATAAAATAAATATTTTATTTATTTTTCTTCTCCAACAAATTATAACCACGATTTGGTTCAAATCGAACAGATACTATAGCAACAAAACAGAAAGGTTCTGATGACAATTTAGAACCGGAACCCGATATTTAGAGTTTATTAAAATCGCGAACCAAAACTGCTAGTTCATGTTCTAAATTGAAAAAATAAAATACATCAATTGTTGAATTTAGAATATTTTTTTAAAAAAATAAAAAATAAAATTTTAAAAGAAAGTTTGAACCAGTAGTTCAAATTGGATCCGAAACCGTGAACTGACGGTTCAAAATCAAAACGAAATGTTATATGTGAGAATCAGAATAAATGCAAAAAAGAACAAACTATTTGCAAATATTATAATTCTAATTTTAAGCTAATGCTAGTAGTTGTTCTGATTCGAACCTCCGGTTCACGGTTCAGGATCCAATTTTTTCAGTTCACGATTTTAATAAATTGAAACCCAAATATTGGATTTTGGTTCTGAATCATAACTGCAAATTTTCGATTTGATTGCTAAGTGTCCGGTTCAGTTCGAACCGAACCGTGGTCATTCCTACGTATAAACAATAATTTGTTGAAGAAGAAAAGTAAATAAAATATTTATTTTATGAGTAGAAATGTCTATTTAATATATCAAAGATAAAAATCGCCACTTTTATAATGATTGGTGGGGCTAATGTGGATACATAAATAATTCAGAAGGAAAAAGTGCTATAAGCATATAATTTAAGGAAAAAAAGTGTTATTTTTCCTAATAACAAAATGTGAAATCTTTCCAGCCACCTGAATTTTAAAATATCTAACATCCTCGTACACATTATTAGGCTTTCCTTCAATAATAATTCCATTCCGACAATGCGGGTAGATTTGGACACATAACGACTTAAAAAATATCGTTGTATGCCCGGCCAGTTGTCGCAACGCCGTCTGTTGCCTCCCTCTTCCGGCGCTGTTGAAATGGAATTCAGGGATCACATGTGTGAAATTTGTGCCTCGGGATCAGGTCTCATCAGAGACAGTATAGGAGCAACATCTTATAGTGAGGGACTCCTTCTAACTTTTGTGTTTAGTTGAGTTACCTTAATTTACATCATCGCAAATGTTTTGTCCAATTATAGCGTGTGAGTCTTTGAGGTTGGGAATTCAATCTTTTAGGAACAATGAAGTGGAACTCACTTTGGTTTTTGCCATTCTGGTATGATCTACAGATATTTCCACAACAAACTGATGGTTGGAATTTATGATTCTGGCCACGTGTATCGCCACGCCACCATATTTGATTAGAGCATCCATAATAGTGGAGGTATTTTGTGATTTTTGAGGAATTTTTGTAAGTGTGATTAGGAAAGAGAATAAGAGAGATGAGAGAAAAAAGAAAAAAAAATAAAGCAAAATTTATTTTTAAAAAAAAAAACAATATGAAAAGAGACTGTCAGCCGCGCCCTGTCGCGCCACCGGACGCGTGCAATGCACGCGCCTGTGTGGGCTTCTGCTATGCGCGAAACACGCACAGCTCCCTTTTTTCTTGTTTTTGTTTTTGTTTTCTCTCTCCAGGTGAATCCCACAAATAACTCTGATCTTTCTTGCATAAGAAACCCATTTTTCTCTCTCATCCATATCAACAGGTACTATTCCAAATAACCCCTGATATGGATGCTCTTAATAATACCACATGTCCACATTAATTAATTTCCTGTCAATAATTAAGGTTTGATTCCTTAGCTTCCATCCATACTATTATATTATAAAATCCCATCACCCCGCTGCATATATGTTTCATGCAGGACAATGAAGTACGCAATCAAGTTTCTTCTAATCTTGCGGCGTTTGGTCGTCGGAGTTTCGCCAGAGATTGAAAGGTTATTTTGCGTGGAAGAATATATTTTGGGCAGCTATTCATAGTTCCGGTGGCAAGTAGCAAAGCAAGCAATAATAATAATAATGGCGAAGATGATGGTGGTAAGATACAGTTTGGTGGAGGAGGTGGCGCCGACTCGGTGGTTTTCCCGAGAAAGTCGTCGCGTTCTCATTGTCCTAAGCTGGAGACCATCAAGGAGGAAGATAATATTAATGGAGCCCAGCTACAAGATATGCTGCAGCAGCATCGTTCCTCTCATCATCATAATCTCGATCTGTTTCATTAGCTATGATATAGGGACCGGATTGGACAAGTTCGAGGTTAATGTATATTATCAAATGAAACTTAGTAGAGTTAAAGTGATACTTTAGTATTGTTATAATGAAACTAGTGTGGAGGGATAATAAAATTAGTGTGAAGGGAAAATGAAACTAAAAAAACATAGCAATATTGTTAAATGAAACTGGAGTGTAATTAAAATAATACATACTTCATAATCCACAGTAAAATTTGTCTAGGGTGCGCCCTCCTCCAAGTATGGGACCTAGGTAAGGGCATATCCTGTAAAATTAACAATCTAAATATACACTGCAAGAAAATATAATTTATTAGATTGTCTAACTCAAAAAGAATACAATTGACACAAATTTAAATCGTACAATTAAACCAAAAATGGCTAGTAATCCAGATCAAGTGTTAATGTGGCAGTTAACATTTATTATTATTGTTATTTTTAAATTTCAACACTAAAAAAAAAAAAAAAAAAACCCCTTTGTCTCTAGATCGGAGACAAATGGTTGTTGGATTTTTTAAAGGGAAAATTGTAATTTATGCCCCTTTATAATTTGTCAATTATCAATGTCACTCCTGAATTATTAGTGGTGTAAATGTTGCCCCTCAATGAACAAATTGCACTTTTGGTCCTGTGAGTAGTATGGTACTGGCAATTTGAGTACGTGACTTTCAAAACTCCCAATTTAAACCTTTAACTATGCAAAAATTGACAGATTTGGTCCTCCGGGTCAAATTGCCGACCAATTTTGGCCGAAAAAACATAAATTGGTTCGAATTTATTTGTGTTGAGGGCAAAATCGTCATTTCACTCCCTTCTTCTTCATTCTCCCTTCTTCTTCGTTCTTCTTCTTCTTTCTTTCTTCTTCTTTGCTGCTAATCAAGAGTCAAGCACTATTCTTCACATCCTAGTCAATGAGACACCAATGAAATTCCACTACTTTGTCTTCTTCAAAAGGTCCCATTCTTTGTCTCTGCCACTCTCTTTAATTTGTCTCTTTTCTTGTCATCTTTACAAAAAAGAAATTTACAATATCCCCTCAGTCTCAGCAATAATTTCCAAGTCAAATTGCGCGTTTGATCAATGCATGGAACGTATACTTAAAGCAACGATCGCCATCTCCTTCATCTTACTATAGTGTTCCTGCTCCCTTCAATCCAAGCTATAGAGATAGATAGATATATAGAGAGAGACATGGCAAGAATCTGTTTCCCCAGTTTGTTGATTCTTCTTTGTCAGATTTTCTTGAATTTCCATTTAGCAGACTCCAATGAAACAACCCAGAATCAAGACTGTAAGGATTTCACCTGCGGGTTTCTGGGTACTGTGGGATTCCCCTTCTGCGAATCTCCCCGGCCGGATTGCGGGCTGATTAAGCTGGATTGCGCCGCAAAACCACACCCCCGAGACTAGATTTGGTCGGGAAGAAGTACAAGGTGGTCGAGAAAGAGGGTAATTTTCTCCGCGTCCTGGATCGCGACCTGGAAATCCTTCTGATGAAAAGCAGTTGCGAGACTTTCTACAAAAACCTATCACTCCCAGAATCCCCTGTTGTATCCTATGATGTTTACCACTACTTAACGTTGTTCAGATGCGACCTGGGATCGGACAAAAGTGCTTCATTTTTATGTATTAGCAGCAAAGAAGAAGAAAGAAAGAAGAAGACGAACGAAGAAGAAAGGGAGAATGAAGAAGAAGGGAGTGAAATGACGATTTTGCCCTCAACACAAATAAATTCGAACCAATTTATGTTTTTCCGGCCAAAATTGGCAGGCAATTTGGCCGGGAGGACCAAATCTGCCAAATTTTGCATAGTTAAAGGTTTAAATTGGGAGTTTTGAAAGTCACGTACTCAAATTGCCAGTACCATACTACTCACAGGACCAAAAGTGCAATTTGTTCCCCCTCAATTTTTAAAATGGTACATATATTGCCCCTCCGGCCGTACTGTACGGGAAGGGCAATATATGTACCGTTTTAGAAAAATGAGGGGCAACATTTATACTATGGGAGGGCACTATATGTACCGTTTTAAAAATTGAGGGGCATCATTTACACCACTAATAATTCAGGGGTGACATTGATAATTGGTATATTATGAAGGGGCATAAAGTACAATTTTTCCTTTTTTTAAATAAAAAATTCTAAATGTTAAAATAGATAAATAAAATTAAAATTAAAATTTTAAATGTTAATTGCCACATTAACAATTGACATGAAGTACTGGTTACTTTTAATCTATTTCAGTGAATATTTAAGAGTTTTCTTCTCGCCGTTTCCGCGAGCCTACGATGACTACTAGGGTTTGTTGACTACTTGAAGGTTATTCCAATACCACCATCGGCGATCGAGAAGGGTCCGACGTTAGCGGTTAGAGCATGGCCTCCCAAGCCACTCAGCCCGATGTCGCAAGTCTGTGTGTGAATCAAACCCTGGGCGGACGTAGACGATGATGAAATATCTATGCAATTGCCCAATGCGCCAGTTGATAATGCGGAAGCGGAGGATGTGTTCTATGCCGTAGGAAGATTGGTCACGGATAAACCTATTCGGCTAGGGTTTTTTCCTGACACCATGGCTACGGTGTGGAGACCGGTTATGGGGTTGAATATGAAGGAGCTTGGTGATCATAAGTACCTGTTTCGTTTCTATCACGAGAAAGATCTCACACGGATCATAAGTGAGGGATCCTGGACGTACGAGTTGATCATAAGGAGGGTAGCACAGGGCCAGGACCCAGAGACAATCGCACTAACACATGCGGACTTCTGGGTACAAATTCATGCGCTGCCACCGGGGTTCCATTCTGAAGTAGTGGTTATAGCCATTTGGTCATTCTTGGGATCCTTTATCCAGACGGACGAACGGAATTTTGACTGGAGTATGAGGAGTTTCTACCGGGTCCGAGTCGCGATAGACGTCGCGAAACCCTTAAAGAAGCAGATGAAATTGAGAAAGGATAATAGTGACTGGTCATATATTGGGTTTAAGTACGAGTGGTTGCCAACGTTTTGCTTCTTGTGCGGCGTCATAGGCCACGTCGACAAGCATTGCCATAAGTATTTCACGATGGAACAGGGTGCTGAGAAACCTTATGGGGCCTGGCTAAAGGCGGGCATTCGTAGGGGAGTGCTGGGGAATGGCCATCATTGGATTCCGCCAGAGGCTAATTCTGAATGCCAGAAGTGGAAGTCTGCATTGATGGATTCTGTGAGTCATTCGACCGACTCTGAATTGCGTAGAGTGAAGTAGCACAGTCACGGTTCTGATCCTGGTCAGTTGCCAACTATGACTATGGCTGAACAGAAAAGAAGGCGAACTGATGCGAGCGTTACTGAGGCAATGGAGTGTGAGGCTACAGGTTCAAAAAACTTGTAGGAGGCGGGACTTGCGGAGCAAGCCCGCCAAAGACCATGAATATCCTAACGTAGAAATGCCGAGGGCTTGGCAACCCTACGGAAGTTCATGTACTGGCGGATTTTGTCCGTGATAAAAAGCCGAAAATTATGTTCTTAATGGAAACACTATTAACGAAGCAGAAGATGGAGCCGATTAGAATAAGGTTGGGTTATGGCAGTATGCTTGTTGTGGATGCCTAGGGACTAGAGCTATCAATACGGGCTGGCGGGGCGGGGCCCGCCAAAGCCTGCCCTTTGGCGGGGCGGGCTAAAAAGCCCGCCAAGGAAACGGGCTTAGGAAGGGGCAGCCCGCCCCACCCCTCCGTAAGCCCGCGGGCCCCCGCCTAGCCCGCCAACTTTTTTTTTTTTTTTTTTTTTTTTTTTTTTTTAATAGTATCATGTATTCAACTATTTATATAATTTATAGTGAATGGCTTAAATTATAGACTATAATTTATAATGATTATAAATTATAATGTCATTATGGCTTGTATATAAGTATATTACTGTCCACGAGCAACATTGTATATTACTGTCCAGTGTTCACGAGTTGCTTACACAGTCTAAATTATTATTATATTATATATACATTATTATTTATTATATATATTAAATAGTAATATTAATATACTAATATATCAGTAGTCAGTACAGTACAGTAATTTGAAAGGGAATGAAAAAAATAATTACCTGAACTCCTGGAGGCTGGCGAGTGGCGTCCTGCGTCCAGCCTGTACAGTACAGTAATGGGTCGCCGGTGATTCGCGGTGGGTTGCCGGTGATTCGCGGTGGGTCGCCGGTGATTTGCACAGTCGCACTTTCGCAATCGGATTAGGGAGAGAGGGAGACGGCCAAGACGGTGTGTCTTGGGTCTGTCTGCGGAGTTAGGAGTCTTAGGACTTAGGGTTTTTTTATTTAGAATTTAGAAATTAGAATAGTTATAAAAAAAAAAAAAAATACAAGCGGGCTGGCGGGCTAGCCCGCCAGCCCGCCCCGCCAAGCCCGCGGGCAAAAAAGCCCGTTTTTAAAACGGGCTTCAAAAACATGAGCCCACCCCGCCCTTTTGGCGGGCGGGGCGGAAAAGCCCGGCGGGCTAAGCCCATTTTGACGGCTCTACTAGGGACACAGTGGGGGTTTGGCCTTACTATGGGATGATGCGGTTGAGGTGGACATAACAGGGTTTTCAACAAATCATATAGACACAACAGTGGTTTTAGACGTGGGTAGTCCCAAGTTCAAACTTACTGGATTCTATGGACTCCCGAAGAGACACCGCCGGAGGGATTCCTGGAAGTTGTTACGCACGTTGGCAAGTATAAGTAGCCTACCGTGGGTCGTCATGTGTGACTTCAACGACTTGCGAAATTCGAATGAGAAACGAGGACGGGTACCACACCCTCAATGGCTTTTGAATGGGTTTCGAGAGGCGGTGGTT